GAACCCTGGCCGGTGCAATGTCATTTCCTGCTACCTGTGGCTCTGAACACACACACACACACACACACACACACACACACACACACACATGCTGAAGCTTTTGAGTTAAGGCAGCTACTGGCACATGACGAAGTCCATCTCCACCGGTCATGGGCAATTGACCTAGGAGGCTAAAAAAAGCACTGGACAGAACATTCTAGATAACAGCCCACAGCACCTGGGGGCGCAGTCAGAAGGCCAGGCAAGGAAGAGTTAGGTAGAACAATCGCTTGAGAGTAAGTCACTGACCTGGGAGGATGAATGGAAAGGGGCCCTGAAGTCTCACTCATTTTTCTTTCTATTGCCTTTTTTTTTTCTTTCAGTCTTCTTTCCTTTTTTTTTTTTATTTTTTTAAGGACAACAAGCAATAGCTCCTCTAGAGGATTTCGGGCAGGGTGGAATGTGGTCCGAAGGCCAGATCTTTGACAGGAGACAGCCTTGGTTTAGATTTTATTTTTATGCCAGTCCTGGGGCTTGAACTCAGGGCCCGACACTGGGCTCTTAGCTTTTTCTCTCAAGGCTGTGAGTGTTCTACCACTTGAGCCGCAGCTCTACTTGCAGCTTTTTGGTTTTGTTTTTTGCTGGTTAACTGGAGTTGAGAGTCTCACAGCCCTTCCCGCGCTGGGCTGGCTTTGAACTGCCATCCTCCAGATCCCAGCCTCCCAGGTAGTGAGGATCACAGGTGTGGGTGAGCCTCTGGCTCGGGGCAGGTGGTCGCTCTTGCTGTTTCCTGGGTGGCTGAGCTGAGTCAGGTAATGGGGTCACCCCTGGTTTCCTTTCGGGTTCGCGGGGTGCGGGGTGGCCGTGGGGCAGGTCTGGGGGGGGGACGTTGCTCCTCACTGTGATTCTGGTTCCAGCCTCGGGATGAACATCGAGGTTGGGAACGTGTCTCACACGGGCGCCGTCGTCTCCTGGTCCCCGTCGGAGCCCTGTCTGGAGGGCTATTACCACGTCACGTACAGGCCCAACTGGAACAGCATCTTCTCCAGCTATCTCCGCTACAGCTTCCACCGGGAGGAGAGGGTGCCGCGGGCCGCCAGCTCGGTGGCTCTGGAGCACCTGGCCCCCTCCACCCTCTACTTCCTCTGCGTCGGCTGTCAGGAGGCCGCTTTCCCCTACAGACACCACTGCACCATGTTCCACACGTTGGACAGGAGCCCGCTGGCCGCCGGGGGCTCCCTGGTGGACCCCCAGCTCTCCCTGTGGGTGTTGATGGCCATCCTGCTCGCCTGCTTCACCGCCGTCCTGGCATTCATCTGCCTGCAGTTCTGGTGCATCCGCTGCCACGAGCCTCGCTGGTCTTACCGGGCCGGCCACATGGAGGAAGCCAACGGGCTGGTGAGATGGCCTGAGGAGGTCCCCGCGCTGGGGCAGAGGGAGGAAGACCTGCAAGGGCTCCCCCTGGTGGAGCTAGCTCGCAAGGACTCCGGAGCTGGTGCCGAGGCGGAGGGGGAAGCGCCCCGCAATGGCTTTGAGGTGGGGGGGGTCCTACCCAGGGAGGGCGCGGGCCGGCCGGCTGCGCTGTCCCCCGGCAGGGAGTGACCCGTGTGTGTGCGTGGTGGGGAGGGGAGACACGGATGCCCCCCCCCAGGCTGGTGAACGCCCTCCCCACCCCCCCACACCATGGCGTGAAGGGGCCGATCATGGCTTCCATCCCAAGGTCATCACGATTTTAGTATCAAGCCGAAGCCTGCACGCACGGAGCCCAGGCGCGAAGACAGCTCGGCCTCAGCCACGCGGCGTCTTCAAGGCCGCGGCTGGGTCGTGGGTGGGCTCCGAGGCATACTTTCGATCACTTTTTTTTTGGGGGGGGAAGGAAAGCCGGGCTCTGGAGTGTTTCCCACGTCCCCAGCAGGCCCACGCTGCCCACACCCTACCGTCACTTCAAGGAAAACCCATCAGCTGCCTTCCTGATCACGCACGACACTTTTTCTTGAAATCCATCGCTTCTTAAAACCCAGTAAATGGAAAAAAAAAAAAAAACCTAACCTACAAAACTGACAGGCTTACGTTACCCGGCCAGTGAGCAAAGCAACAGCTTCCGACTGCAGACAGAGAGCGAACTACTGCCCAATTCATATCACAGAAACCCAAGACTGCTACGCTAGACCATGGCCGCTGCGACCGGCTGACGGCTGAACTCCAGACCTGCTCTGGTGTTTGATCAAAAGGAAGACCAGCCAGAGCCCAGGAAGAAGGGAGACGCGCGGTTCACCCATCGTCAGGTTTGGGGAAACAAAATCAGGAAGGGAAGAGGACTGGTTGTACTTAGAGTGGCTCTGTTGGGATTTGACCTGGTACTAGCTCCGGTCATGCGCCAACTCCTTCCCAGAGCCCCCCAACCCCGCCCCACCCTCCAAGCCCTTTGCTGAAGGTTTTATGAGAGCCGAAAAATCCCAGAATCCACTGGAGAGAAGTGACACCAATCAGCCAAGAAATCAGAAGAAAGTCAGGAGCCGAGCGTGGACCAACAGGTGCACAGACCCCTTTCCCCGCCCATGTCAGTCCACCTGTCACAGCGCCTCCCCCAGTCCTCCCCTGCTCCCCCCAGCCTCTGCTCACCCCACCCCTGCTAAGTGATGAACAAAATAAAGACACATATCCTTCGCGGTTCTCCCTGCCTGGACCTCGCTCGCCGACACCTCTTGATTTCCCCTGGCCTGGGCGCAGCAACGCACCTTGGATCCGTAGAGGTAATAAGGCTGGACGTTGGCGGGTTTATCTCGCTGTGGTTCTTGGGTGAAAGGAATAGCAGTCCGGACAAAACTAGAAGGAGAAGAGAGGTGGGGGAGAGGTTAGACGGGGCCCTGTAACATACTTCAGGAAGCCTGGGACAGCACGGGCCTTCCCTCCCTTGACCCAGGGATTGTCTGAGGAGGTTCTAGCCTCTTCCAGCAATCCTCCTATTTGCCTACGGTCTGCATTTCCATCCTGCATTCCTGGGCTCAGCTTAGTGCCGCCCAGTGCACCATGGGTAAGATGGTCCAGAGTGAGCCGGGCCCCAGCATTGCCTTCTCTGGGAGGGCTCCAACTTCACTTCCGGTTTCAAGACCTGGACTCAGTATGAGATCCAAGCAGCAAGCTATTGTCTGCCGTATGAACCAGAAGGTCTTCCCCAGGCTATGATCCGCTGGCTTAATTCCAGTAAAAATTTTATGCATTCTGAATAATTGTCACACGCCACCAAATAGTCTTCTTCAGACTTTGTTTTTTTCCCAGCTACACAAAAACGTCAGAAATGTGCGTGGCGTCTGTAGTGCATGCCTATAATCTTAGCTACTCGGGAGACTGGCATCTGAGGATTGTGGTTTGAAGCCAGCCCAGGCAAGGAAATCTGTGAGACTCTTCTCGCCCATTAGCCACCAAAAAGCCAGAAGTGGAGTTGTGGCTCAAGTGGAAGAGCTCCAGCCTGGAGCAAAAGAAGCTCAAGGCAGCTGGGCACTGGTGGCTCACACCTGTCATCTTAGCTACTCAGGAGGCTGCGATCTGCGGATCACCATTCAAAGCGGAAGTGGAGCTGTAGCTCAACGTGGTAGAGCACCAGCCTTGAGCAAAATAGTTCAAGGGCACAGTTCAGGCCCAGGGTTTAAGTCCTATAACCCCCCTTTATCCCCCCCCCAAAAAAAGCTCGGGGACAGTGCCAGGCCCTGAGTTCAAGCCCCAGGCCTAGTGTGATGCACATGCATGCACACAGGCTCACAGCTACCAGGATGGCTGGTAACTATAACACAACCTACTGATTGTGGCCTGGGCCACGGCTGACTTGCAATGTCTTCCTTGCTCAGGTGCATCAAATGCCCCAGTCCTCATAGAAATGGGAGTCTGCCTTGCTCGGTGGGCAGATCCAGGTGCATTTGCAGTGCTTCACAGGTCTTTGATTCACTCAATACAACAGGATTCACTCACGGCCCGAACCAGGCAGTGGGTTACTAAGAGGATCTGCACTACCATAGTCATTTCGGACTATGGGGCCTGACAGGATCTGCGCTTGCGTACACCTACCCTTCCTGACAGGATCTGTGCTTGCGTGCATCCTTACATTTCCCCTTCCACACTCGTGTTTGGACCTGGCTATAGGCCATTACTGACAGGATCTGTGCACGCGTACATCTACCTGGCTACAGCCCTTACTGCACAGAATCTGCGCATGCGTATACATGCTTGCATCCTTTTCCATACTCCTTTCTGGATGTGAGGACAGGTCTCACCTCTCCCTCCAGGTGCTAAAGCTCTGTGGGAACGCAGGAATCCCATCCTGTCTCGCACAGGACTGTGAGCCCCTCGTGGGAGGCAAGGCCCACCCTGCATTGCCTGTGCGTGCTGTGCAGGTGTGTTCTGCATTGCCTGTGCGTGCTGTGCAGGTGTGTTCTACAGTGGCTGTGTGTGCTGTGCGGGTGTGTTCTGCATTGCCTGTGCGTGCTGTGCGGGTGTGTTCTGCAGTGGCTGTGCGTGCTGTGCGGGTGTGTCCTGCAGTGGCTGTGTGTGCTGTGCGGGTGTGTTCTGCATTGCCTGTGTGTGCTGTGCGGGTGTGTCCTGCATTGCCCGTGTGTGCTGTGCGGGTGTGTTCTGCATCGCCTGTGCGTGCTGTACGGGTGTGTTCTGCATTGCCTATGTGTGCTGTGCGGGTGTGTTCTGCATTGCCTATGTGTGCTGTGCGGGTGTGTTCTGCAGTGGCTGTGTGTGCTGTGCGGGTGTGTTCTGCATTGCCTGTGCGTGCTGTGCGGGTGTGTTCTGCAGTGGCTGTGCATGCTGTGCGGGTGTGTTCTGCAGTGGCTGTGTGTGCTGTGCGGGTGTGTCCTGCATCGCCCGTGTGTGCTGTGCGGGTGTGTTCTGCATTGCCTGTGTGTGTGCTGTGCGGGTGTGTTCTGCATCGCCCGTGTGTGCTGTGCGGGTGTGTTCTGCATTGCCTGTGTGTGCTGTGCGGGTGTGTTCTGCATC